CCTAACCCTAACCCTTAACCTAACCCTAACCCTTAACCTAACCCTTACCTTTATGTGAATCGGCTTGCTGTAATTTTTTTTACATTTTTTGATCTTTTCCGTCGCGCTGTGATGACGTCACATATGCGCTTTCGTCGACCGCGATTTTGTCGTCCGCGGTTTTGTGGTGGAACCCATTTATCAAGTTGTGTTGTGGCCTGTTGGTCACCAGCCCAGCCAGCAGCCGAATCAGATGAGGAGGAGGTGTGAGAGTCAGGGTCAGCATCAAGGCAACCTGAGAACTCTGAGGGGGAAGAGGGAATGGAGCTGGCAGAGAGAGAGAGAGAGAGGCAGAGGCAGAGCCTGGGCCGTCCTTCAGCCCTCAGATGGAGAGTCAACAGCCCCCAGGTCTGGAGGTGGCTGATGAGGAAGATGAGGAAAAGCTGGGTCCAATGCCTGACATGTGGATGCAGAGGAGAGGAGAGCAGTGGAAATCTATGGGCCGATCCTTAGGACAGAAGAGCCACCGCTACTAGCGAAGCCCCACCCTAGCTCTGGGGATAAAAGGCAGCGGGAGGAGGATGGACAGACTTGTTCGCCTGCTATGTATGTGAGAGAGATACTTTTGCTGGGGCTGCTGGCGCTCCTAATAAAGGAATCATTTATTTAACTACAGAGGGTTTGTCATGTTTGGGAACTGGGTCAGAACAGGTTGCCAGAATTATTTGTGAAGCTTTTGAATCTCTCAGACGACTTTCCCAATGAGTTGCAAATATTCTCTTCTATTGCGTATGGAGATGCTCAATCATTCGGGTCATGGTTGTCCCAAAGGTGTTTTTTCAAAAGGCAACTGTATAAACTATTGTAGGTCTCATGGCAAGTTAATAGATGTGCAGTATTTTAGTGTCAGATTTTGTATTTTTCCCATTTTTTTTCCTGCGGAGTAGAATTCTTTCTCCTCTCTTCTCTATCTAAACATCTCTCCTATTATTCAAATTGATATTCTCCACTATTTCTAGATCGGTTCTATTAATCCATCTTTCTACAGTACAGATTGTATTTTGTTTGTTTGTTTTCTTCTATAATACCTTTTCAACTTCTGGTCTGGCTACAGCCCTAGCATGTCCTAATAGACTCCCTTCCAATTACTATCCCAGCTGGGCCCTGCTTAGCTTCTCATGATCAACAGAAGCCATCTAGGTGATGCCACCAGTGGGGTATTAGGAAAAGAAATATGGTTAGAAATATCACTAGTGGTTTGATATTTTATCTTTTTCCTTTAGTTGCCAGGAAAAAGGTCTCCAGGTTGGAACGTCCATGGAAAAGTGGACACTTATCTCTGGCTTGGCTCTAGTAACTACGCCCATGCTATTTTCGACAACTTACCAGTTGGATATGAAGCAGAAGCACCTTTGGCAGAAAGCACAGGATCCCATCCTACTCCGTATCCTGCCAGTCTGATCTACAAAAGTGAGATCCTACATTATATATTTAGTTAACATTAGCATTATTTTTCCCCAGAGAGTATACTTCTATTTATTGTTAA